TAATTTCGTGTTTCTGCTGACGATTTTCGCATTCACATTCAGAATAATTCAAGATGAACAAATTAAATGTATTTTAATAAGGAATATACATTGTAATGCTTGGATCGTACACTAGTACTGTACATGTTAAAACCATGAACATAAATACAGCTCCGATTTAATTTTATACTGTACGTACTATGTATACAGTGTATGTGACAGAATGCAGCTCGACGCCATTTCGTCTTCCTTTGTTACGTGAACACATGAAATTAAATTAGTCATTTTAAATAAAATTCAAAATTTTGATTTTGTGACGTGGATGAATAATTTTACTAAAATATAAATTTCTAGACACATCTATTAGTTAATTCAAATGAAAATCATTTAATTTTTTTTTTACCGATATCTAATGTCAATATCATGCGTGCCATTCGAAGTCCAATATCTGGTAGAATAAAAACGATTTTTATATATACATAACCAAAGTTATAAATTGTCATCAAAATTTATTATCAAAACCCTTTTCACAGACACACAGCCGAGTGAAGTTGACATGGACACACTTCTGATGAGAACCACATGAGGTGTTACTACAGTCATCTACATGTTGTGAGCAGTGGGGACCAGACCAGCCCTGTTTACACACACAACCTGTCACAGGGTCACATCTTAAGGCGCCTCGCCCACAGCCACAGGAATTGGTGCAGTTATCTCCCCATTTTCCCATATCAGCACAACCTGAAAAGAAAATGGTCTCTGTTTTCAGTAGCTGTTGCAGGTTTTTTTTGCACAAGTTTCATAAAATTATTTTCAGTTTAATTGAGTTTTCAATATCATTTTAATTGAATGTCATAACCAGTTTCATAAATCGTTATTTCTGAGGTCAAACTACAATAATTTTGTATAAAATTTACCAATCCAAGATTCCATAGACTATGAAACATGTTTTGATATAAATTGATCCACAAAATTATTTTTATTAAAGTCTTAAATAATTCCAATGCTATCCCCAGATAAACTAAACAAAAATCAATACTTCTCTCACTGCAATTTCACACAGCCCTTAGTTACACCTATATGTAATAATTCTCCTTGAGCAAACATCCAGAATTTAAAAAAATATGTTGAAACAATTTCAAAATACATCACTTATTAGATAAACTACGCCAAAAATAATATCTTTCATATGAAAGGTCACTGGTTACTTGATATAAATAAGAGAATATGCCAAATATGGATTTTAAAGTACTTCCTAAAGATGACATTGTTAGCTTATACTTAAAGTTTACAGTTCCCAATCAAATTTTAATTAAGTCTGCAAAATTTTTTGGTAATTGTATCTTCCTCTTATACAACGGACTCAACCTACCATTACAGAGAGTGAAGTTATCCTTTTGTACAGGGGAATAACCAGCTCTACAGAAACACACAGGGTTACCTCCACCATCCACTGTACATCCCCCATAGGTGTGGTCACAGAAGTTCCACTTGTTACTACTTTTACAGGGATTAGACACTGAAAGCAGAGAAAATTGTGATCAGCAACTTCTAAACCATAAAACTACCATGGAATTTATAAGCTCTTCAGTGTTCAGTGTTTAAAACCTCCTTAAGGGCTAATGAAGTAATACCATTCGTATGTACCTTGTAGGAAGCATCGTTCTTTCCCTAAAATTTCTACTTTATGTATGTTGAAATGCCCAGGTTTACAGCTACACCATGAAGCTTTCATTTTTTAAAAAACACATTCATGATGACAATTGTGTAACATTGCAGAACATTCATCCAAATCTGGCAGAATAATGAAAATATTTTGTGACATTTGAATTCTCATAAAACTCAAAATTCTTGGGTCATGCTATGAGTGGAAAATTTTTTGTAGAATATCAGTATGTAATGTACGTGAATACCTTGACAAGTGTTATTAACTCTAATAAACCCTTCAGCACAGACACACTTGTAATTGTTTGTAGTGTCCACACAAACTTCGTCTATTGGGCAGGCATACTGGGCCCAGGAGCTGCAGGCACTGGAATCTATGATGTAGGTAAAAGCAAAAGAATGATAAGAACAAATTTTTGGCTTTGTTTTGCAGGTAATTTTTCAGTAGCTGAAGATACTTATAAGATCATCAATTGTTACCTACATTCATATTCGAACAAAAGGACAAAATTGTGAAGATTAAACTAATAACTGATACTGCAAACACAAACTCACATTCACAGAGTCCTGTGTTGGTATTCCTCTGGTAGCCATTTTCACACCCACAGGTAAATGCTCCATAGGTGTCTGTACAGACCTCAGGTGACTGACACAGGCTCAGGTCCTCACACTCATTGATGTTGACTTCACAGAATCTGCCAGACCAGCCAGGCTTACACACACAGCCAATCACATTGTTACAGTGCAGGGCATGATGGGTACAGTCACATGACCTCTCACAGTTAGGGCCCCAGTGATCAAGGTCACAAGCTGATGAATGAAAATGTTATGAGTTGTGCATTTTTGTAAAATGGATTTCTTAAATACATGCAATCATGTGATAATTGACCAGATTTACAAATTTAAGAGATAACAACCAGAGTAATACAGACTGTAAAGTACACACCACAGCATTTAACTTATACCATACAAAAAGGTTAATAGATTGAAATATATAGTTACATTTATTATGTAAATACTGTATACAGGGAAATTTTGGCCCCCATTTTATTTTCACCCCTTTCGCCCTAACTTCGGTTTGGCGAAATTAAAAAAGGGTGAATTCAAAGGAAATAGTATAATTTCTTAAGCAAAACTGTGACTGGGTGAATTTAAAATGTGACAAAATTGTTTGCAGGTGTGAAAAGGCGAAAATAAAGTGGGGCGAAAATAACCCTGTATGCAGTAAATATACATGTGCATTAACAATTATATAAAAGACACCCCATATATACCTTGACATGACCTGTGGTCTGTCTGAAGCCTATATCCATTGTAACATCCACACTCCACACTTCCATTGGTGTTCTGACAGCTGTGTGGGCAAGGGTCATCTAAACACTCATTGATATCTAGGATATAACACCAAATACTGTCATTTATAATCAGGAAAATGCATTTTAGCATATCTATAAAATTATGTAGATTTATTTGACTTTTTCAATTTGGAAGGAGTATTTAAAAGAATGGATATTTATAAAGTTCTTTTTATGACTGAAGTTACACAATATTTTTAATACAGTGTACATGTATGTGATTATAGTGCGAGTACCGATACAAGTAAAGCCAAAATAGTGTTAATTGATTCTTTAAACAAACTATACCTTCACATGCTGAGTCTGGCTTTGTTCTGTAACCAAGTTGACAGAAGCACTCTGGTTCTCCTTTACTATTGATTCTGCATCCCTGGGGACATTGTCGAGCAACACAAGCAGGTTCTACTGAGGCTAGGTATCAAAGATGTTTAAATTAGAAAGATACAGCATAATAAACAAACAGACAACAAGGAAAATACATCAATAGTAAAGGAAACTTTTCAATTAGTGCACATAAATTGTGATACCTTTAAGACAGGTCTGTCTGTCTGTGTGTAGCTGGTAGCCTGTAGAACAGACACAGTGGTAGGAGCCCGGGGTGTTTATACACTGATGATGACAGTCACTTACCTTTAAGACATGTCTGTCTGTCTGTGTGTAGCTGGTAGCCTGTAGAACAGACACAGTGGTAGGAGCCCGGGGTGTTTATACACTGATGATCACAACCACTTGTCCCCTCTCTACATTCATCTACATCTGAAGCGACATGAGGTGGAGATTGTTAATATTTGAAAATATACATATTTTATTGAAAAGGGAAATTCTATGTCAAATTTCTCAATCTCAGAAAGAAATTAAACTGTACAATACGTATTGGTAATTTGATTTTATCCCTCATATAGACCAAAAAGACATATTGATAGATGGTCTTCAATGAATTTGGTTACATATCATTACATCATCCAATTTTTTGTTTGAATTTTTCATTCTACTGTTTAATTCCAAATTCATATTCCTGTAGTGGTTTCTTTAACGGTAAGCAAGATTACAGCTAGCTTGTACTCTTAATATCATAACATATGACAGAGAAATGACAAGAATGGCAAAATACATGTACCTAAACACTGGTAACCATGTACTCTATAACCTGCTTCACAAGCACAAACAAATGATCCATCTGTGTTCACACACCTCTGAGAGCACTGATTGATACGTAACGTACACTCATCAATATCTGAAAAAAAAAAAATAAAAAAATTATTGAATATTTGAGTACACATTGCAACTCTTCAATATAAGGAAATCTCTCTCAAAGAAAAGTCTGATTATATTCTTCCAGTATTGGTAAAATTTATAAATGAGATATGACCAGGTTTTTTTTTTCAAGCACACGTATGTTACAATTTTTAAGTATAAGAATTTAACACTCGTCTTCAAATAAACTTTAAAATACTCTTCACTGTATAACAAATCTTTGACAACCAAGAAGACTGAAGACATGTCTCCTACTTACCTACACACTTGAGAGAGCTGGACAGGGTGTAACCCCCAGGACAGGCAGAACACTGATAGGTCAGTCCTCGGGACTTCTGGACAGACGGGCTCAGATCCTGGCAGTCAGAGCTTGTGTTACATGGATTACCATCACAGCCATTCTCATCCACATTACAGGTGGGACCTATTGATACCAAGTCAGTACAATGAAGTGGAAAATTCAATATAATCATTTTAACTGTCTTTTGAATCATCATAACTGATTAATCAAGTAAAGTCGAGCAAAAGAATGTTCTTGGAATTTTCAGGGTGCTGAGCTAGTAACTCTCTGACTTCCAACAACGACAAAAATCAATTTTAAGATTATTTCTCACCTGTCCATCCTGTTTCACAGACACAGTCCACAAGGAAGAAGGAGGGTTGTTCCTGTGGGATGACATCATCAAAGTGACAGGTGCCCCGCCCACTACAGCCTGGACAAAGAATGATGTCAGGGGTCACAGTGGCCGATACAGAGGAATTCTGATCCACAGCATAGATCCTGTCAACAACAAAGTTCACTAGATTACTATAATATGCTTCACAGCAAAGGTCCAGTCAGCAATTAAGTACACTAGATTAGATTAGGGATCAACAATTAGTCCATTGAGTACTCAATCCCAATGTCTATCATGCAGGAGTCAAAGAATAAAATGTTACTAAACTCACTGTATACTTTTAGGGGAGGTATTCCTTGGAGTCCATCTATACAAAATGGCTGATATTTGTCTCTCTGTGACATTGGCACTGATGGATCCAGATAAAATCAGGCTCACATAATCATTCCCTGAAACCTGGGCTATTGCTGTGATGTCCACCATTTCTCCAACTGTAGCAGTTAGTCTCAGTGGGTAGTAACTTATTACTGGAGAGGCTGCAGCTGTTATTGAAAAAAATATCATTTGAAAGATCTCTGATAATCATAACTAGAGAGGGCACAAACTGTGCACTCCTCTCGCCACAGCTATACAGGAATAAATATGCTAGCATATGGAAAAGAGAGAGACTAAATGACCAAAGACTGAAAGAATTTCTCTCTACTCCCTACAGAATTAATACTCAGTCTGAATGACACAACTTTCCAAGTGTAATCATCCAATAAACATCATTCATCAATATTATCTTCTTCAGTTGAAGAAATGCATTTCAGAGAAATTAATTCATGTTACCTGGGGATACTGGGCTGTATTTGTTACAGTTGTCAGAGGGACGTTTGATGAAGAATTCCTCACACATCCTGGCCCTCACACAGCACAAGATGTAGGGGTTAACATCAGTGTCCACAGCCTCAGTAGGGAGAGTCAGGGGGTTGTACAGGAACACATAGCCAGCTCCCAGGGAGGAAAACAGAAGAGATCCCAGGGAGGAGTAACAGCATTTCTGAAATATAAACAACTCTTGCAATTTACACAAAAGTTTCTCATCTAAGTGAATTTAACATCTACTAAATTTTTTTTCAAAGACGTGCATAGAAATTTTCAGAGTACTATATATTGTTGTATTGGTACATACATGTTCAGTATTTGCTTTAACATACAGTGTAGATTTTTCACTGATCCAAAATAATACATGTCCAAGTAACAGTGGTATCAATGTCATATCCCCTTACCCTAGTGTAGGTGGTGTTTACTGGAGAGGTCTGTACAAAGTAACAGTTGGACTCGGTCCTGGACTGGATAAAGTCTGAGTCCAGATCAGCCTGTACGGTGTTACAGGGACACGGGGGGAGGACCGAGTCGGCCTGTGTCACCAGACTCTGTTGTGTCGCCCCATCTGATGACAGCCAGGAGTAACACTGAGCTCGGTAATTCTCTTCTGACTGAGGACAGGTGTCCAGTCTGTAGAGCCACATCCCACTCACATTGTTCCCTAAATCACAGAGGAAGAAACAGAAAAAAATACATCATACAATTAATTAATTATTATCTGAAATTTTCATGCTCTGTGTTGTTTGCAAAATTAATTTTAAGAATTAGTGAATGCTGAGAAACAGAGTATACCAGTACCTAATCTTTTTTTTTAACATTTCAGGGTCATTGTAGCTGCAGTGAAAAACAACATTTGAAAAAAGTTGAGGGCAACAGACATAACTGTACATGCAAATAAAATTTGGTTAAGCCAATATGCATTTAAAGTAATTTCTAGTTACTGTTGTATCCCTGTTCTATGACTGTTGGGTAGATCTGCCTGGAGAAGGAGGCGGGGTGGGTGTAGGTATCAGACAGGGTGGCCCCACACCGGTACCCCATCACTGCTGGTTTGGTGGTGTCCCAGTTAACAGAGTGGAGTAAGAAGGAAGCATATGTAGCCACACCATCACTGACAACAACCAACTGGAAGGTGGCATTCTGAAATAGGATTACCTGATTATGCGTACAAATAGATATGGGTGTACATGTAAACAGTTGTAACCATTACTGAAGAATAAATTGTTATATAAATCAATATCATTAAATTCTCTCTCTCTCTCTCTTGAAGCTAAGGACATAAAAACTAATCATATTACATGTATATCTACATGTGCATTACCAACACTAACTTACAAAACACACCTTTGTTGGATACAGGGAGCTTGGAGAGGGCACTACATTCTCCCAGGTGACAATCAGAGCCGAGTTAGGATCAAATGATGAAGTCACTTCTTCTGCATCTTTTATATTGCTGACAACTAGATCCCCAGCCCTTGTAAGAACATTAGTAACATCTGTGTCTCCAAATTTGTGATAGAGCTGATACCAGATATGTGAGTCACTGGTCAGGTCAATGTCTGTCCAGAGAGGGGCCAGGACTTTATTGTTTACAATGGATCCTGCAGTATCAGACAGAAGCACTGGTCTCTCATCATCGAATCTCTCACCAACAGATACGTAGCCATTGGAATAAATCTAGAAATAAGACAAAAGTACCCATGAATGCATACTTTATACAATATTATTGCCTCTGTATTTTCTGTATTATATTGTCCAGGTTTAACATTTCCTCTTTTTTCAAACTGGAAATTCTCTGGTCCATTATACTTTCCTCTATTAAACAGGAAATGAAAGCAAGATACAAGCTGACTTACATATATCTGTTTGCTAATTGAACAGCCACACCTGAATCCTATTGGGTTAAACACAACTGCTTGTAAAGCATCATCTCCTGTACTGGCTAAAGAGTCACCATACACTGATCCATAAGGTAGCAATACTGTGAATAACATGTATGAATGAGTAATTTCATAAATTATACCAAATTTGTTTGGTGCCTTTACAGAGAAATATCTACTGAGTCATAAGGTAGCAACACTGTAAACAATCAGTATAAAGTAAATTTTATATATATCATACCAAAGTTTCTACGCCTTTACAATGCATTATCATTCAACTCACTTGTATCAGTGTATGGCTGAGTTGAAGTTGGCGCTGTAGTTGTGGTGGTAAGGGTGGAACTTTGTGTCAAAACTGTCATAGTTGTGGATCTCCTTGTTGTGGTTGTAGACTGTTGAGTTGTAGTGGTAGTTGTAGACTGCTGGGTTGTGGTGGTAGTTGTAGGCTGCTGGGTTGTGGTGGTAGTTGTAGGCTGTTGAGTTGTGGTGGTAGTTGTAGGCTGTTGAGTTGTGGTGGTAGTTGTAGGCTGTTGAGTTGTAGTGGTAGTTGTAGGCTGTTGAGTTGCTGTGGTAGTTGTTGTAGGCTGTTGAGTTGTAGTGGTTGTTGTAGGCTGTTGAGTTGAAGTGGAAGTTGTAGGCTGTTGAGTTGTGGTGGTTGTTGTAGGTTGTTGAGTTGTGGTGGTAGTTGTAGGCTGTTGAGTTGTAGTGGTTGTTGTAGGCTGTTGAGTTGTTGTGGTTGTTGTGGGCTGTTGAGTTGAAGTGGTTGTTGTAGGCTGTTGAGTTGTAGTGGTAGTTGTAGGCTGTTGAGTTGTGGTGGTAGTTGTAGGCTGTTGAGTTGTAGTGGTTGTTGTAGGCTGTTGAGTTGTAGTGGTTGTTGTGGGCTGTTGAGTTGTAGTGGTTGTTGTAGGCTGTTGAGTTGTAGTGGTAGTCGTAGGCTGTTGAGTTGTAGTGGTTGTTGTAGGTTGTTGAGTTGTAGAGGTAGTGGTAGGCTGTTGAGTTGTTGTTGTTGTAGGCTGTTGTGTTGTTGTGGTTGTTGTAGGCTGTTGAGTTGTAGTGGTTGTTGTAGGCTGTTGAGTTGTAGTGGTAGTTGTAGGCTGTTGAGTAGTAGTGGTAGTTGTAGGCTGCTGAGTTGTAGAGGTTGTTGTAGGCTGTTGAGTTGTTGTAGGCTGTTGAGTTGTGGTGGTAGTTGTAGGCTGTTGAGTTGTAGTGGTTGTTGTAGGCTGTTGAGTTGTTGTAGGCTGTTGAGTTGTAGTGGTAGTTGTAGGCTGTTGAGTTGTAGTGGTTGTTGTAGGCTGTTGAGTTGTTGTAGGCTGTTGAGTTGTAGTGGTAGTTGTAGGCTGTTGAGTTGTAGTGGTTGTTGTAGGCTGTTGAGTTGTAGTGGTTGTTGTAGGCTGTTGAGTTGTAGTGGTTGTTGTAGGCTGTTGAGTTGTAGTGGTTGTTGAAGGCTGTTGAGTTGTAGTGGTAGTTGTAGGCTGTTGAGTTGTGGTAGTTTCTACAGACTGCTGGGTTGTACTTACACTCACAGTTGTAGTTACAATAATATTACAAGTCCTGCCATCACTATCCAGGTTATAACCTTGGTTACAGTAACAGAAGTAACTCCCTTATATTGTTGAATCTAAACAGGCCTGGCTTTATTGTGGTTGTTAGTTGCACACTCATTTACATCTGTGAATAAATCAAATTAAACAGTTGTTAAATATACAAAAACATGTTTCACTATGAAGATTCCTGTCAACTGGTATTTACTTTTCTAATTTACAAAATTTTACACAATTTAAAGCAGGACAAATAGAACCTTGACAGGAGATGCCATCTGACTTCAGCTCAAATCCAGGTCTACAGGAACAGTTGTAGCTTCCTACTGTATTTGTACACAGTTGCTGACAATTGTGCAGGCCATTGCTGCATTCATCAACATCTACAAAAATGAGGTAAGCAAACTTTTTACAGATTTTTTTCACATGGAAAAGAAAACAACTTTTCTTTGCAACATACAAGTAAATGAAGCCAGGGTTTGACAAAAAGCTTTTCGAATACTAGACCAGTCGGGCTACTCTGGCAAATTTTTACCAGCCCTGACCCTTTAACCACTAGCCCTGACCAAACTAAAGAAAAAATATTCAAAGCACAAAATAGTAATAATTTATGAATAACCCTTTTTTATCATGTTTAATTGTATTGGTTATATATATATATATATATATATATATATAACAAATTTTCCTGAACACATGTCAACATCAAACCTAGGTCATATATATGCAGCATGTAATATGATTAGTCCTAACTTAATTTAATCAACTTGTATACAATATCAATACCATATCAATACCATACCATAAAAATTGTTCAGAGAAATGTGAATCTTTCGACAATGACAATTGTAATTCTAAGCCATCTCGATAGCTTATTATTTCTCTTTAGAAAAGTGGCCGAGTAGTTACGATTATGCCTACGATGACTGCTGTTAATAATTAGCACTTCGGTCATGCTGTCTCTTTGTAACAACTATACAGTTTTCTTTCTACTATGCAGTAAATTAGACAACATTTTGATTTTATTTTTCATTGATAATAAATTTGTTTAAGAATATACATTTGTATAATAAGTTTTACTTTTCTTACACGACCAGTCGGTCTGATAGAAAATTTACATTTCGGACCCATCTTTTACTAGAAAAAGCATACAAACGTGCCTTAATGTCAAAATTGTAATATTTGCAATTCTAAGACATCAATTTTTTTAAAAGTCAGCGACTTACAAACATAAGTTCATGTACACAAATAGTCTTACCTTGACATCCACCATTTTGGTTACTCTAAAATATCCTGAATCACATTGACATATATAGGAACCTTCAGTATCTACACATGTTTGTGTTACATTACACGGGGTGGTCAGACATTCATTGATGTATAGTTCAAACAGAGTTACGTCTATTTTGGCAGACAGCGACAGCCAATCAGGGGGTCACATGAGGAGGCCCCCACCCCACAGTTACAGGGGGTGGTACAGTTAGCTCCCCAGGTGTTGGTTACACTGCAACCTGAGGAAAGAAAAACAAAATTTTATTTAAACTTTGAAAAATCTGACAGCATTATATGTTGTTTCATTCAGAATATTTTTACAAAAAAGAATGAATCGCAATAAAATGGCACTTTGTTTTTATCATAAAATTATACTAACTTTCACATGTTTTGAGATCTGTTGTCAGTTTGTAGCCATCAGGACAAGTACAGTAGAAGCTACCACTGATATCATTACAGATGTGGGAACACCCAGAGATGTTGGTTATACACTCATCGATATCTACAACAATAACATTGATATTTACTTACAGCATCAGCAAATATCTACAACAGCACAGATATCTACAACAGCAACATATTTCTATAACTTCAACACTGACATTTACAACAACAACAGATATCTTAACATCAACACATATTAGTCAAAGCAGAACATCTACAGAATTCACTGCACACTCATTGATATCAACACCATCAATAGATATCTACAACATCAGCAGTATATTAAAGCTAAACAAGAAAATAGATTCTGCAAAACATATATATGAACTAGATATCGAGATGGTGGCCATCTCAAAGGGCCCCGCTTTCAACAATGAACATGAAAATGTAAGGTAGTTTAAAAGGGTTTATTTTGAAGAGGAACATTTGTGTAATACAGTAAAAGTCATTTAGTACGACTTCGCGGATATTGCGAATTTACGGATATATATATCGAAGTTATCTTGAATCTCCAGTTACATAAATTTACTGGAATTAAAGTTAAAAAAATTATGCACCAAACAAAGATTTTAAACAGAGAGGCTAATTTTGACCATGACCTAGAAACCTCGACCAAGGTCACTGCACATCCATTGACCAGTGGAACTCTGTGAGTGAAGTAATAGCCAGATTGGGCCAAGGAGAGAGAAGATATGCTCCGGACAAGGATTTTTCATAAAATTCTGCTATGACCTAGAAACATGGTTTAAGGTCAAAGTCACTGCACACCGGTTACTTACCCTAAGGCACTCTGTGGGTGAAGTATGAGACATATTGGGCTAAGGAGAGAGAAGATATGCTCCAGACAAGGATTTTTCATATAAGTCTGCTATGATCTTGACCTTTGACCTGGAAACATGGTTCAAGGTCACTGCTCACCGGTTACCCAAAGGCACTCTGTGGGTGAAGTATGAGCCAGATTGGGCCAAGGAGAGAGAAGATATGCTCTGGACAAGTGATCTCAGACGGACAGCTGGCTGGATGGACGGACTGATCACTATAGGGCGCCCGCCAAGCGGGGCCCTAATTATACTTACATTGTACATGTACAAGCATGTAAAATCGTGCAATTGAGATATTCTGTTTATTCGACAAAATAGTATGACGTACGTTGCGCATGCACTACTGGACGAAAAAAGTGCTGAGAATCCCAAATTTTACTGATAATGTTTGATAATTACTGATACGGTGCTGTTCTTGCTGATAATTACTGATATTTACTGTTATTATTACTGTTGTTGCTGATAATTTTAGTTGTTGCTGATAAATACTGATAATTACTGTCGTCTTTTACTGTGGAGTCTGATAAATACTGATAAATACTGTTGGGGTACTGTCGCTGCTGAGAATTGCTGATAATTACTGTTGAGGTACTGTCGATGCTGAGATTTACTGATAATTACTGTGGTCATTGTTTTTAACCTGGGAATGGATGAAAATAGCCTGAGAAATGATTATTATTTTTTTTTTTAAAGTATTTTATCAAATTCATTACAGTCAATTACAAAATTTATTCTAAATAAAAAAGTCACAATTTATTAATTTGTTTTCAGTTTACAGCTATTGATTTCATTATAATTATTTTTAGACCATAATGATAACATAAGCTTTCATAAATGTTTATGTTTTTTCTTTAAATTTCTCCTTACACATAGATGACATTATCTGAGGAAAATTATTATGTTGTATTTGCAGTGGTTTTTCTTCCCAAGTACTTTTTTTTTAAAGTTTAATTTTTGTTCATAAAGGTTAAAAAAATCTCATATCATATTTTTTCTCACATGTATGTGTACTGTCATCAAAAGCTTTTTGTGGGTATCTTCAATACTTCAATACATGCAGTCAATGGTTGTAAATATCAATTTCGTTTACCGTGTGGAGAACTGAAAATGCATGAACACATTAAGTTGAAAACACCCCCCCCCCCTTTTCCATTTACTTTTAAATTAAACTCTCAATTTAACAAGACAGTATTAAATATTTGTCGTAAAATCTAGTCTTGAAGCGTACACTTTGTTATTTTAGAGAAGAATGTGACAGTGTTAAATAATTAAATTGAAGAATCTTTAATTATTTTTTTTATGTATTATGTAGACATCGCGCTCCAGTTCTCCGATGTTCTCCCTGCGATATATCATTGTGTCGCTTTCTAGCTCTCTCTCTCTCTCTCTCTCTTCTCTCTTTCTCTCTCTCTCTCTCGCTCTCTCTCTCTCTTGAATTATTTGTTAAGGCTTAAGTATTGTATACTACATGACATAAATCTTATGGAGTGAGATTTTCAGTCAATGAAATACACGTCTTTCTTAAGGCTAATTCTTTTTTCAATTTATACAGTTTTAAGTCCATGGGCATATGGCTTCTAATATTACTGAGTATGCGCCACTCCTTAAACATGTTATATGCGGTCAGTCAATTAAAAAACAAGATAAAATAAATCAGGACTTGAATTAACTTTTTCCATTAATGCAAACTTTGTGCTTGTTGTTCTGGAACACACATGTCAACCACGTGTAAAAGTTCTACTTTCGTTTTAGAATCGGGTCAATTATTAGTACATTCTGCCATAGGGATATCGTTACGGCTTGCGTTTTTGTATAATTAGAATTTTGTGCAGAGATTATCATTTTTTTTAAATTCCATTTTTGTCTGAGAGCTTTGTATAAACGAACAGTACAGACTTGGTGCTTATTTATATGATTCTACTTGATTGTAGCACAAAAAGGAGGGGGTGAAATACCGTTTACAATTAAGTGATAGCCGATAGGGCAATGTCTGTTCTTTAGTTGTGTGTTTTAAAAGTCATGCAAGTTATGATATTATACTTATCGAATTTTTTATATGCATGAATAAAATTATTTTAGAGAATCAATTGCAATGAACCATACAAAATTCAGAACTGAAGTAATTATAACATTTCTCTCTGAGTGCGATACACAACGTCATCTCTTTCTGACATTCAAAATCCAAACATTTATTAAGGTTTTTTTTTCTCAGATTAAGCGAAGTCTCTTCTCCCTGCATCTGAACTGTGAACAATTAATGCTAATATTATTTCAAAAAAGTGCTTCACTAAACAATCTTTCTCTTTATATCTATATGATTGTATATTTTGCACACTTTTTTTTTATTAAAAAGTGAAGTCAATTTCTCGTCTACGTATTTAGCGGTCCCAAACCATCGTTAGCAGAGATTCAGAATTGAAAATACATGCGACCACCTCCCCCGGGATATTCTTTTATCTGATAAACAAAATATACTCTCTCTCTCTCTATCTCTCCCTTACTTCGCATTTATAGCAACCTACAAAATTTTTTTTGTTTAGTTTCTTATTCACGCATGCCTTTTAGACCTACTGTTATGTATAAAATCACCACATTTTATATGTTTTTGTGGTCTATGTATACTAATGTAAAATGGTAAAAAAAATTTAAATGATTGATTGATTGATTGACTAATTAATTGATTGATTGATTGATTGATTGATTGAAGAAATATGCGTAACACTAAAAAATGAAATTAAATACTGAAGAAAGATAGATCTTTGAGAATTGAAATAATAATTAAAATAAGTCTGTAAAATGTACATGATGTACATGTACATTTATTTATCTTTTTTTATATTATAGTACCAAAGTGTTCTCTCTCTAAATATATTTTCTAACTATTTTATTCGTCATCAAATTCAATATTACGGATTTTTTTTGTGCGACCATAAACTCTCTCTCTCTCTCTCTCCAAAGTAGCGAGTACATGTACTGTCCCCCCCCCCCCCCCTCTCTCTCTCTCTCTCTCTCTCTCAGACGAAGAACAATAGGTAATTAGTGCCCATTGTTACTCGCTGACCACTACAATTTGCATGGAATATACAAGTTGTACCCCGTTCTCTCTCTCTCTCTCTCTCTCTCTCTACAGCCAAATCACAGGTCGATCTCTCTCTCTCTCTCTCTCTCTCTCAATTTAAAGGTGTTTTCTCTTTCAACTTTTTACCATGCAAAATTTAAATCGATCAATTTGATCATATACTAATAGTAACATATTAAATTAAGTCTCACTTCAGTTCTTATTTCCCATTCCATAAAATCAAACAAAAAAATTAATGAGATTTCTCTCTCTTAAACAAAAAATGATTTTGTATTTAAATTTTAAGAGACAAACTAAGCACATCTACCTTTGCACTAGGGATACTTAACCTCTAATTTTTAATCAGTCTCTCTCTCCATTTGCCGGTTTCTCTCATACGGTGTGCACGTGTACATATGTACATGTGGAGGAGTTTAATTCTTGCACGATCTTCTTCTCTCTCTCTCTCAAATAAATGAAAAATAAATAAATTATTAATTAAAATCAGTCCGCATGTATTACAAATATTTGAACCTGTTTTCAACACCTTGACCTTTGTAAAAGGGATAAAATTTCTAATTTTCGAGCAAATTTTCAAATATTTCGACAAAAAGAGATAAAAATGAACATTTAACAAGATATATATAATTGCAGAGAATCTAAATAAAACAAAATGTTGTCGAAACTCGACCAGTTGACCTAGTGAAAACGGAACAAATCCAACTTTTACTCAGAACCTGCAGGAAACTTTTTTAATCCCGATTTTTTTCCGTACAATTAAGAACTTTTTTCTATAAGTAGTAGTTTTAAGATCACCATTCTCCCTACATAATTTTCTTGGAGTCGGAAAGGCGGCGATGGATCTTTTTATAAGATGGCATTATTTTTTTTTATTTACACGTTTATTTTTCAATAAGATCTGCAAAAGTAAAATTCCATTTTTTTTTCTTCATTAATTTTTTTTTATTAATTCTATTGCTATATATTCATTCTATTAATAATTCATTTGATTATTGTCAAAATTTTCACAAACGTAATGTAGAAATTGAGATCAACATACATACATACATGCAGTCATGTTATTTGTCACAAGCAGAACATTTACTAAGAAATATGATAATTCAAGTAAAAGAGAGTAATAATTGAAGGTTTCTATAGCGCTCTGTTTTATTT